TAAAGAAAAGCATTTCAATGGAAATAGTCTATATGGGAAGAATTCTCAATATCATAGTTTGAAACTTAAAAACTGAAAATGACTTAACAGGTAAAATATAAAATGTTCAACAAATCTATAAAGCATTAAAGCTGACCATCATAAGATAAACGAATATCAGATACTATGATAATAAATCTTATTGATTTTCACAGAATCTGCAATTCTGCATCTAGCAAGTGTGATATTTGTACAGATGCATCACATAGCAAAAAGTTGCTATATTGGAAACATGTGGACATGGAAGAAAAATGTTGTTGACCCACAAACCTTACCACCCAGGCTTGCATAGCATTATCAAACTTTTAAACCGTGTCCTAAATGCATTATTTTTAACCAAGGCAATATGTATCAAGTATCATATTAATATATACAATATGGCTGACTCCTTTAAATAGACTATAAATAGTCAGTGGGTTTTCAATGTTTGATATAACTAGAAGATATATTTTACCTCTATAATAGTGTCAGCACCAAATTCCTTCCTCCATTGAAGCATCTCAGCCCACATTTGTTTTGCTTTCTCAACATCAAATTTCCTTGCCTTCAAAAATCTGCAAGGAAAATGACCAGATCAGAACTTTAGATTTTGAGGACATACAAAACTATACTGTTTACATGATATGGGGGGATCATTTACTAACAGAGTACCAGTATCATCAAATGCACAAAGCAAGATACAATCACAGGAAATTCAATTGAATAATTCTTTCTGGTATATGAGTTTTCCACAAGTGATAGGTTTTGTTGCCAATAATATTTCTTGTGTCAATGCAACTTATGTTATCAAATGTAGATCATCTAATTCTTGCATCAGCTTCTTTTTTCCATGTACGTAACAGCATGCTAGAAGAATAGCACATTGATTTTGCAGGTTTAAAGGGCAGTGAACTCTATGGAGAGAAGAAAATCAGCTACTATATGACGCGGTAATGACATAGGAAAACTTGAAAATTTGTCCTAATGAGACCAAACAAGGTGTATCAAACATGCCAATTGAAAACAAGACATACCTCAACATCATGTGATAATCATCATGCCTAGCAGGTAGCAGTTCATCCAGTATCAGTGATTGACGAAATGCATCAACAGCTTGAAGTTCCTCAACATCCCTGACATCTTCAATTGAGACTGAGATGACTTGACTGTCACTCTTCCTCCTACTCTTTTTCTTCCTCAATGAATGCCTGAATTTGGTTGAAGCATTTAGTGCCTTTTTCTTAAAAGATCCCATCCTCGTTCTTCTTTCATCCTCTGAGTTCTCAAAATCTGATTTTCGCTCTTTCCTTTCATTTTGACCAAAAGATCCGTCAAAACCTGAAATATTTTACGGGCATTTTTGTCAAATTAGGGGAGAAAGAGAGTGAATAGAACGTTTGGAAGTAGAATTTAAACAACATTTCGCATTCAGAAAAATGATATTGGAACTAACTTCCATACATTTACAATTCTTATTGGATTAACATGAGTATGGATGGGAGAATGCTTTCAAATAACAAGCTCAGAGTTGGTAAATACACATATAATATCCAAACTCATAGTTTTACACCCAGATACATGCATCAGCACGCATTTACGTACATATAGGCAACAAGGTACAAGGTACGTGATATACTGAAAGCAATAGTTAGTGGCATGCTGTTTGCATGAATTTAGTTTATAAGTTATTTAAGGAACTGGGGTAGCACCACAAACAATTATGCAGAACTAGACATCAAAAATTGATAAAGTGAATTAAAATACGATCAATCAGAAGTTCCTTATTTTATTTTTATTCATTACATGGCATATTTCTACCGGTTACAAGACAATTAAGGAAGCTAGTAGAATCAATACTCTAAAACATCATACTCTAGGAAAGTATTTTTTGCTAAAGCTATGCACACTCATTGTAAGGGAAGTGGACAAATGTCCATTGAGAACCCAACCAACCGAAGACTTAATTTCACCTAAGAAGAGGAAATGACAAACTAAGTTTGTCAAATTTATGAATTCCAATCCAATGAACAACTGATCATTTCCTCACATAATTTCTCCGATAAGGGGCTGTTTGTTTGGGCCAAAATTTTAGGGAACCAGCATTTTTGGAATAAAAACTAGGTTTTGGGCCATTATAGGATTCTAAAAGTTGGGTTTGCTTCAAAAAAAATTTAAGAAAAAGTTTCTTAAAAAGAGATAAAACAGTGACTTTTTTTGGACAGCACAAATCCTATCTTTTGGCTTGGAAATGTGCTATTTGGTTATGTGGACTTTGCATTCAAGTCCATCTCATTCCACTATTTGCATCCAAGCTCATTTGAGAATAAAGAGGATTTTGCTTCTTTTGGACATTTTGGCTTTTGGCTTCAATTGATCATTTTCTTCACTTGCTTGATGGGCTTCATGCTCTTTAGGCTTCTAAATACTACAAAATAGAGAAGAGAGATTTTTGAGGGGTTTTTACATTTAATAATATTTATTTATATTTTCATTCAATTATGTGCAAACTAATCTAACAATAATTATTAATGGTATATTTATTCATGTAAAATAGATAATGAGGGTATAAAATTGTAATAAAATATGATTATCAGTCTTCTTTTGGCGGTTCGAGATACTACGTCACCTTTATCGACGATCACTCGAGGAAGGTGTGGGTTTACTTCATGAAGCACAAGTCAGAGGTGTTCGAGATCTTCAAGAAGTGGAAGGCCATGGTCGAGAACGAGACAGATCTGAAGGTGAAGTGCTTGAGATCAGATAATGGTGGAGAATACGAGCTGGAGGAGTTCAAGAGGTTCTGTGCTACGAATGGGATTCGCTTAGAGAGGACTACTCCAGGGACGCCGCAGCAGAACGGCATTGCAGAGAGGATGAACAGGACCTTGACAGAGCGTGCGCGGAGCATGCGATTACATGCAGGTCTGCCTAAGACATTTTGGGCGGATGCGGTGCATACGGCAGCATACCTTATTAATCACGGGCCATCAGTTCCATTAGATTTTGGGATTCCAGAGGAGGTTTGGAGTGGAAAGAAGATAAATCTCTCACACTTGCGGGTATTTGGTTGCGTGGCTTATGTTCATATCAGTGACCATGTCAGGGACAAGCTAGAAGCTAAGTCACAGAAGTGCACATTCATTGGATACGGCATTGATGAGTTCGGGTATCGCCTTTGGGATGAGAAGAACAGGAAGATCATCAGGAGCCGGGATGTGATATTCAATGAGGAGGTGATGTACAAGGACAGGGACAATGCCAAGGATAGCCAAAGCAGTGGGAGCAGCACTACGGATACAGGTGGATCCGAGTACATGGATTTGGAGGAACTTCCAGATGGGGGCGACGATGTCAGTTCTGACCGTAGAACGGAGGAGACTACAGGTGCAGAAGCTACTACCCAGGGCGTGGAGCCTAGGAGGTCATCTAGGGTACCCAAACCAAATCCCAAATACCTCTCGTCACTTGATTATCTACTCTTAACAGATAGCGGAGAGCCGGAGTGTTATGAAGAGGCAGTGCAAGTGAGTGAATCTCAGCAGTGGGAGCATGCGATGCAGGAGGAGATGGATTCTCTACTCACTAATGAGACATGGGAGTTAGCCCAGCTACCTGCACAGAAGAAAGCCTTGCACAATAAATGGGTCTACCGGGTCAAGCAGGAGAGTGATGGAAGCAAGAGATTCAAGGCCAGATTAGTAGTGAAAGGGTTTCAACAGCGGGAAGGAGTGGACTACACGGAGATATTTTCCCCTGTTGTGAAACTCACAACCATCAGAGTGGTGTTGAGTTTGGTAGCTGCAGAAGACCTCTTCCTTGAGCAGTTAGATGTGAAGACTGCCTTTCTTCATGGTGACTTGGATGAAGAAATCTACATGAAGCAGCCTGTTGGCTTCATTGAAGAAGGAAAGGAAGAGATGGTGTGCAAGCTCAAGAAGAGCTTATATGGTTTGAAACAGGCTCCGAGACAGTGGTATAAGAAGTTTGATAACTTCATGCAGAACAATGGCTACAGAAGATGCAATTCGGATCATTGCTGTTATTTCAAAAGGTTCGAGTCCAGCTTCATTATTTTGTTATTATATGTTGATGACATGTTGGTAGCAGGACCGTGTTTAGAAGAGATAAACAGTTTGAAGAGGCAGCTAGCAAAGGAATTTGCAATGAAGGATCTGGGTGCAGCGAAGCAGATTCTAGGGATGCGAATCAGTAGGGATGAAGCTGAAGGGACATTGAGTTTGAGCCAAGCTGAATACATTGAGAAGGTACTTCAGAGGTTCAACATGCAGAATGCTAAAGTTGTTAGCACACCCCTTGGAAGTCAGTTCAAGTTATCTGAGGAGCAATCGCCTAAGACAGATGCAGATAGAGAGCATATGAGCAGGGTGCCATATTCTTCGGCCATTGGGAGTCTCATGTACGCGATGGTTTGCACGAGGCCGGACATCGCCCATGCAGTGGGAGTTGTGAGCAGATTTGCAAGCAATCCAGGAAAGCAGCATTGGGAGGCCGTAAAGTGGATAATGCGGTACTTGAGGGGAACAACGAACAAGCCACTATGTTTCAGGAGGAAGGAGTTGGTGCTGCAGGGATACGTGGATGCGGACTTCGCCGGTGATCATGATACGAGGCGAAGCACCACGGGGTATGTTTATACCTTAGCGTCGACAGCAGTGAGCTGGGTCTCACGTCTGCAGAAGATTGTGACTTTGTCTACAACCGAGGCTGAGTATGTCGCGGTGACTGAAGCAAGCAAGGAGATGATCTGGTTGAACGGGTGCTTGGAAGAGTTGGATCTGAAGCAAGGGAGAGGAGTTCTTTATTGTGATAGCCAGAGCGCTATACATCTTGCCAAGAATCCAGTATATCATGCCAGAACGAAGCACATCGACGTTAAATACCATTTTATACGCTCGCTGATCGAGGACGGAAAGTTGCACTTAATGAAGATTTTGGGGAGTCAAAATCCGGCGGACATGTTGACGAAGGCAGTCACCATTGAGAAACTGGAGTTGTGCGCAACTTCAGTTGGCCTTCACGAGTAGAAGACGAAGGCGGAGCCACACTACGAGGATCGGCGCGATCATCGGGATGTTGATTGAAGAAAGAACTTTTCGGGGGAAAAGATACATGCGAAGAAGGGGAGAGTTCGGGTGAGCTCATTGATGGCGCTTTGCTCTCCAAGTGGGAGATTGTTAGTTTAAGTGTGTAGACCCAAAGCTGCAATAAAAAAGACGAAGAAAACAGTCAGAAGACTGTGCGGTCGACCGCAGTGGCAGAGCCGGTCGACCGCGTGCACTGCAGGAGACTGAGAAGAAGTTTTCGCTCTGGCCGGTCGACCGGCGTGGTCGCTGCGGTCGACCGATATCGTGCACAAGACCCTGTAGGATTTTGTCGTTCTGACCGGTCGACCGACCTTGGCAAAGCGGTCGACCGCGACGCAGATTCGCTGTTTCCTATTTTATCTAGGAATCCTGTTCTGCTGGGGTTTGTTATAAATACCCAAACGTTTCTAGGGTTTGTAAGGACATCAAAAAGAGAGCTTTTTGGCTGCTAAGAGAGAGAGAATCTCAGAGAGATTTACCCCTTGTTTGAGAGCTTGTATTTTCTTCTTCAATTAATAGAAAGATTGTGTGGTGTGGCTCCCGAGGACGTAGGCACGTTGCCGAACCTCGTTAAATCTGTGTGTTCGTCTCTTTTACTGTTTTTTACAAGGTTAGATCTTTATTTGTGGTTTATTCCTACTTTCCTACTTTCAACACAAGGTCCGGAAGGGCAAGGGTTCGATTGATTGTTTCGAATCCCCAACAGGTATATTCTTCTACAGTTGATTGTTATGATACTGGAATATCTCCAACAATATGATTCTTAGGTTTGTTTTTACTGAATCCTGAAGTTTTCATCCTGAGCTCTGTGTTACAGCTTTCGGACATCTAAGGAAGATCAGCTTAGTTCTTTTTTGTATCTTTAGGCTTTGGTAGGTATGCCAACATTTGTTATGGACGGATTTTAATATATTTCTGGATAACCAAATAAAATCTTTCTTTCTTCTGAATTACAAATATTGTTCTGAAACAAATTTTCTTTTGACTATTAAAGTAAATGCTTACATATTAAGTTTTAAATTGGCCTGTTTGATGGTTCATTCATCCCTACTAAGAATTGGAAATGGTTTGTGAATATTACCATTTATCAAATCTGACTTTCGGTGTTCCTTTGAATTCAACAGTTTAATCCAAACTCAATTTCTTTGCCTTTGTGCCTTGTGTTTTCCTTTAGCTTTAGGATTATTATGTTACTTTTGGCTTGTACCTCTAAGGAAAGCTTTCTAGATGTTGCTAAAATAGGACTTACATGCTCATTTGCAGTCTGTTTCCCTTGGGTAATCTCAGAGGACCGTGCTGCTACCCGATCAGTTTAGCCTGTCGAGCATTATTAGATAAAATGAATTTTTCAGTGCTGCACGATGCTTACAGATTCTTCACTTTTACACATAAAGTTAGCACCAGGATGCTGATGTAATGCCGCTACGGACTATTTATGCTACAATTGATCTGCGACAACATTGGTCAGGTTGAACTGTTAGTTTGTTCTTCTACACTCGATCATGGTCTTTCCTGATTTTTTAATATGTAGTGTTCTAACTTTGTCCTTTTTATTCTTCTGTACATTTTGCATATACATATCTTCAAACTTGAATCAAGAAGTGAAAGCCTAATGTGGTTTATTTTACTTCACTTTTTTATCAGAGGGTTTTCTTGGAGGGGAATCCTTACCTTCTGGTGGTAACCATGGTCGTGTCACTGCTCCACTCTGTGTTTGATTTCTTGGCATTCAAGAATGGTATGTTAAATGAATGTTCATCATGAGGCTTGAAGGGTGGTTTTTAAATTCAACTTCAATTGTGTGTTATGATTGGAGATTTATCTTGTTTCTTGCAGATATCCAGTTTTGGAATAAGAACAAATCAATGGAAGGATTATCTGCAAAATCGGTTGTTGTGAGCTTTATAAGTCAGCTAATTGTTTTCCTTTACCTTCTTGACAACGACACATCTTGGATGATCCTTGCTAGTTCTGGGGCCGGTTGCTGCATTGAAGCTTGGAAAATTGGTAAAGCCGTGCATATCGAGGTAAGCTATACCTAGCTGAGTTTTCCTAATTGGTGAGAACGAACCACTGCGGTCATAATTAAGTCCTAGGAACTTCAAAAAAGCTTTTTCAAACATTGTATTCCAGTGATGGCATCTAAAACATTTGAAATGAAAAAACTTATCCAAGATATACGTTCAGTGTGCTTGCCTTGGATAAATTTAACTAAGTCACAATAGGCATAGATGCTATTAGCTGTTAGAAGGAACTAAGCTTGTGAAAGATTTCTGATCACAATTGCTGCTGCAATCTGATCCTTTTTCATGTTATAAAATAAGTTCCCAATAATAGCAAGTGTCATTGTGACACTTTAAAAAAAATCTTTTAATTTGAGCCAATGTTCATATGATTAATGACACTTTTCATGAAAATTGGAAACAAGCTCTGAAAATGAGATGGATTTGAGAAAAACATCCTTTGCAGCTTTATGAATATTTCGAAGAGGATACCAATTGCAGCCATACTCGGTCCCTTGAGGATCGAATGATATCATCAGTTACTTGGGTATTTGCAAAACAATATTTGGACAATTCACTATGCATTCTGTTCTGTACTTAATCTGAATTTGCAAAACAGTAGGGAGCAGCAGTACAATATGATGTTCTAATGCAGACGACGCTGATAACAGGGATGCCGACAACAATGACGAGGAGTGAGACTTGTTCTTATATTTATGTAGTTTTAGATTGTGTCAAGACATGTTATGACTTTTGAATTTTACCTATATGTAATATATTTGTGATTTTATTGCGGAGTGAATGAATATTGTTTGAGCATGCGAGATGTGTTATGATTGTGATTATATGATGAGTATTGTTTGATATTGCGGATTGATGGATGGGTATTCATTTGGAATGTGAATGTATATAATGGTTGATTTTATGATATATTGTTAAATATTGTCATTGGATTGATGTGGATACAAGCTATATATGTATTCTTGTATAGGAGGTTACCAGAAAATTTAATTTTTTTACGTAAATATATGCATTTGCGACGGGGAAAACCGTCGCTAATACTTATTGGCGACGGTGTAATCCGTTGCCGATGTTTTAAACATTAGCGACGGATTCCCCCCTCGCCAATGTTTTAAACATTGGCGACGGATTCTCCTGTCGCCAATGAATATTAGCGACGGGGAAATCCGTCGCTAATGTTTAAAACATTAGCAACGGATTTATTGGCGACGGAAGTAACCCGTCGCCAAAGAAATCCGTCGCCAATAGTCGTCCGTCGCCAATAAGTATTGGCAACGGGGAACCCTGTCGCCAATACTTATTGGCGACGGATTTATTAGCGACGGATCCATGTCCGTCACTAATGTGTATTGGTGACGGATTTTGGGGTATTGGTGATGGATTTTCCCGTCGTCAATATCCAGTTTTCTACTAGTCTCAAAAGGAATTTAAGGAAGGAGAATAAACATCTGAGGATGTAGTAAACAACTACCTATTTTTCAAGGCTCCTTGAATATACTGAGAGGTGATCCGGTCTAGGAGGGTGCTTCTGAATGTTTGATTGATCGGTACTCGACTGCACACAGTTTCTCAATGGAGCTTTCCAAGGAGGAATAGTGTCATCGATGGGTTCACATACGGTTAATAAATTCCTCTCCTGATTCTGCAGCCGTCATGTCTCATTTTCTTATTTCTGCCAGATAGCCCTCTGGACCTGCTAAGCAATTAGTTTCCAGCACATTGCTGTAGTAATATTTACCACCCTTTGCCAAATGACCGGAAAATCTTTATCTTTCCTATAAGCAGGTGGAGCTGAGTAAACAAAGTATCCATTTGGTCGCAAAAGACGGTCTACTTCTTTGAGCAATATGCCATCTGAATAAAAGATCTTTGTAAGCACAAAGACAAAAGATCAATTTTCACAAAGTAATAAATGGAGAAGTCAAGAGAAATACAAAGATTTTCAACTCCAAGAATTTAAGGAACACAGAATAATATAACCTTTCTGTAAGAAGAAATTGACACAAGGTATAAGTATAATTACTTGGACCAAGATTTTCATATTAATTTAACAATGACTGATAAGCAGGGATACTGATTTAACTAAAACCAATTTGTCTAAACATTTCACATTTGCCAGAAGCAGTGAACAGAATAAGGAGCTACTTCGCAGTTCTTCAGATATGAAAACTGATGGAATTGAGAGAATAACAAAAGATGCATTACAAGTTGACCAAACATACACATCCAGCATAAAGTGCCTCTACATGGATATTTGTAAAGGAAAACCTTCAAGAATAAGAAACTTTAATGTGTTAAGCAATGAAGTTGGAGAGAGCTTGGTTCTAGTATGTGTTATATATCACTCTATTTTTTGAAAATTTTTTATTTCGCATATTTTCACATCACAAACTTAAATAATCACACATACTTATAGCATAAACGAAACTTAGTGTAAATCGGCTATCATGTATTGGGTTTTCAGTTAGAGTTAATAGTTCACAAGTGTTTAATTAGATTTACGATTACTTGTGTTATTCAAATAGGTTAAAATGTAGTTGAGTTAGGGTTAATATATCATTGAAATTTTTCCAATAAGGGTTACAAGATTCGAACTCGTTTATTTTTTATCATAATTTAGGGGTTTTAAACTAAATTCAGCAATAAACAATATAAAAATTTAAAATTTTCATGAAAATCATAACTTTTAAGGAGATGAGAGACGATAAGTTCCAAAAACAACGAGCGCGCCGGTGGTCACGGTCAGGCTGAGGAAGAGGATGCGGGAACGGCATGTAGGGTTTCTTAGTTGAGGGGGGCGGTGGGGTGCAGGGGTGAGGGGGGGCGAATAAGAGGAAGAAGGAGAGGAGAGAGGGCGGCGGGGAACAGAGGCGACGAGCGCTGGGGAAAGAGGAGAGGGTAGCGGAGCGGGGGCGGCGGGGAGAGGGAGAGGAGAGAGCGGGCGCGGGAGGCGAAGAGAGGGGAGGAAGAGGGAGAGGAAGAGGAAGAGGAGAGAGAGGCAGCGATGCGGTGGCAGAACAAATTTTTTTTTCCAGGGGCCAGGAGCGTTGGATATCGATAGAAAGGGAGAGGAGAGTTGGTTGGGGGTGGGGGAGGGTGGGGAAATGTTAGGGTTTTGATTTTTTATTTTATTTTATTTTTTTGTCTAGGCAACCTACATGGAAATTCCGTCTAGGTTGCATCCTAAACAGATGAGGGCAAAATTAAAAAAATAAAATAAAACTGTCTAGTTAATTCCATCTTGGATGAGGGCAAAATTTAAAAAAATAAAATAAAACTGTCTAGTTTATCACTCTAGGAAATTTTCGTCTAGATTGACGCAAACTAGACGGAATAATTTTTATCTAGTTTGCCTCAAACTAGACAAAAAAAAAATTTCGTCTAGTTTGCTCCGTCTAGTTTGTTCATTTTTCTACTAGTGACCACTTGCGAAGGTGAGAGAACTTATTGATGACTCTACAAGTGCATAGAATCAAGGATTTGTTCAGCAATTTTGTCTCTCAAGTCATTGAGGGAATTTTGTCTTTGCTATTAAGCCCACAATAATGAGCGGATCAAATTACATGGACTGCTTGTTTGGATGGGTTGTTTCGGGTTAAAAGTGCTACCATGTCACTCGAGAGATAGTAGTTAATAGAGCTGAGGAGCAAACAATCTTATCTGAAAATGAGATTTTGTTATGGAGGAGGCTATGAAAGTGCAAAACTTTGAACAAAGTCAATATATTTGGATGGAGGGTCTTCCATGATATTTTTTACCAACTAAGACAAGATTGATATGCCAAGGAGTACAAGTCGAGGAGATGTCCAATGTCTATGGTAGAGAAATTAAAACAATGGTCCATGTATTATGGGTTTGTGAATGAGCGAAAGAAGTATGTATTAACCCTCCTTATGATTGTTTTGTCAATGGAATTTATGTTGTGTAAACTATGGAAAGCATGCATAGGTGGCTAGATTCATGGTCATGAAGCACTAGATATGATCTTGGTGATGCAATGGACAATATGGCTCCATAAAAACCAAGTTGTGTATGTTGAAGCTAAGATACAACCCAATGAAGTGGGATCTTTCGCAGATAGTTTTCTTGATGACTTTAAATTAATTAACAAATGAGATGCCGCAAATAAGTCACAAATGTTGAGGAAAGTCAAAGTTTTGGTAGAGATAGGAGGTGGGTATGATAAATATAAGTTGTTACGGTGGGTAGGAGGAGTCATGAAGATCCATAACTAATATGGTGATACAAGGCCATGAGGCACTAGTAGAAAAACGACCAATCTAGATCGAAATTTCCGTCTAGGTTGCTCTATGTTCAGTCTAGATTGGTTTACCTAGACGGAAATCCGTCTAGTTTGCTCCGTCTAGAATATTTCCGTCTAGATTGTGTTAGACCCCTAGAGGGGGGGTGATTAGGGTCTTATGCTAATCTAATCCGATTATATGCCAATTAAAACTTATTAACAAGTTATCCTAGCAAGTATGAAATACAACAAGCTATATGAGCTAGGATAAGCAATATGAACTAAGAGATATATCCTAGCAACGAGATGTACTATCGAGATATATGCAAGGATATATAATTAACACAAGGGTAAACAAACTAAACTAGATAGTGGGTAATATAATCAACAAGCAATATACAAAGGCGATATAAGATATGAACATAAAAATAAGTGCGCCAAAGCAATCACAGACAAACGATATGATTACGGAGTTCGGTCCCCACGACTTATGTCTCCGCTCCTCACCTCGAGGAGATCTCCACTATCACAGCCGGGTTTTCTACGTTCACCCGAATAACGTTTACACCTCATAATACAATCACTATGCAATCACACCTCACACACTAAGTGTTGGTCCTAGCCCGTGTCCTCCTCCTCAAGTGCTCGGTTACAACCTCTCCCTAGGCACGTCAACCGATGCCACTCCTCTTGGATTTGACCCCATCTCTCACCACACACTTCTCTCGGTGTACAAGTGTATTACAAGTGAATCCTCACAATTAAGCACAATATAAATCAATTGATTGTTCTCTAAACAAGATGAGAACTCAATTAAGCTCACTCTCAATGTCACAAACCCACAACCCCAAATTATACTATGAATGTAAATACAATAAGCTCAAAAGGTTGTGTGTGAACAAAGAGATAAAACAATATAAACTCAATATGAAATCTAGCTTATGAAATTAAGAACAAACTTATAAAATGCTAGAATTGAGTTTAAGGAAACTTCTCTAAAGATGACAAGAGAGTGGGAGAAGAGTGAATGCTCAAACACCAAAGGATGATCTCCACTTGCTCTTGTGAAATTGAATTCACAAACTCAAAACACTCAAATGCTTAAAAGCTTATAAACACACTTTAAACAAACTTAAACCCTTGATTAAAACTTTCTTAAACTTGTTTTGAAACTCTCTTGGATAGCTTGAAAGAGAACAGCAATAGGGTATTTATACCCACTAAAAATCTCAGCTAAAACCCCTAAGTAAAAGTCCAAAAAGCTCAGAAAAAAATCAGCTCAGAAAATAGCCGTTGGGAAGGCAACGGTCACATTGGCAGAGCGGCGGTTAACCGGAAATTCTCGCGGTCGACCGCGATCCAGGTTCCAAACGGAGAAAACGCACAGAGAGTTCGTCGGTCGACCGAGAGAATTTCCGGTCGACCGCCGGTACTGTAGCAGGTATATCCAGTTTTATAAAATTAGTTAAAAATAGTAAAACAGATCCAAAAAGTATGAAATTTTGAGG